CCTTCGTAGCTGAGTACCAAGCATCACAGATGGCATCCCGGCATCCCTCAGGGCAAGCTCCTGCAGATTCACGTGCGCCCGCGGCGACTCGCGCTCAGGGCGTGAGCTAACATGCTTAGGGTTTCAGGGTTCAGGGTTCAGGGTTCAGGGTTCAGGGTTTAGGGTTTAGGGCTTAGGGTTTAGGGTTTAGGGTTCAATTCAGTGGGTCTCTGTTGCACTATATGGGTGGCTGCCAAAATGATGATCCCTTTTGGGGGTACCGCAAATATTGGGTGCCGTATAAAGATTCCATAAAGAGGGCCATAATTTTGACAACCGCCCATATTATAGCTCCCAAACCAGAAGGGCACATGGTTTGGGTTCCTAAACCCTAAACCCTAAACCCTAAACCCTAAACCCTAAACCCTAAACCCTAAACCCTAAACCCTCCAAATAAAGCTGGTCCTTGCTGGAAAGCTGGGACATGTCCTGGCTTGAGTCGAGCAAGTCCGGGGGGTCGAAGCTTTGAGGGTGTTAAGGAGTTTGGTTGTTTAGAGTTTAAGGTTTAGGGTTTAGGGTTTAGGGTTTAGGGTTTAGGGTTTAGGGTTTAGGGTTTAGGGTTTAGGGTTTAGGGTTTAGTTCGGAAGCAAGCCTTTTTGTTTTTAGGGTTTGGGGCTCTTGGGGCTTTCGAGCTACCCTAAACCCTAAACCCTAAACCCTAAACCCTAAACCCTAAACCCTAAACCCTAAACCCTAAACCCTAAACCTTGGGTCTTTCGGATGCTTCTGGGAGCCTGGATCGCGAGGTTGCCGTCGACTCCCAGGTCCTCTCGGATGAAGGGGGGGGTTGGGGGGTTTAGGGTTTAGGGTTGAGAGTTTAGGGTTTAGGGTTTAGGGTTTAGGGTTGAGAGTTTGGGGTTTAAGTAAAGGTTTAGGGTTTAGAGTTTAGGGTTTAAAGATTAGGGTTTAGGGAAAAAGTTTAGGGCTTAGGGTTAAGAGTTGAGGGTTTAAGGTTGAGGTTTAAGGTTGCGGGCACCCTTAACCCTTCCAAGAAATCGCAGGCGCCCCTTTAGGGGCCCCCCTACGATCCCAATGACCCAAAACCCGAACACCCTCAAAACACACCGAATTCAATCCATCAAGGAGACCTCCTAGTTGCTGAGTACCCTGGGCCAAAAAAGGTTGACCTTCCAATTATGGTAGGATTATAATTATGTGACAATACGGCCTCTGGCATGTTCTCAGGTACCCCCAAAAAGGATCCCAGCGTAGAGAACCGATGCCTAAACATTCAACCCCCAACACTAAACCCCCGATTCTTCAAAACGCTTGACTCGGAGCGCCTGAATGCCCTTAAACCCTGAACCCCAAACCCTAAACCCTACAACCCCAAACCCTAAACCCGAAACCTGGCACCTTTAAACCCCAACCCCTAAACCCTAAACCCTGCACCTTTAAACCCTAAACCTTTAAACCCTAAACCCTAAACCCCCCCCCCCTAACCACCCTGCAGGGCCTTGGCATCCTCGGGAGTCACCTTGCTCACCTTCGGGGGCCTGTGGAGACTCGAATTTGGGGCTTTCCGAAAATGGGGGTACCCTTTTTGGGGGCCCCCTTGAAGGGGATGCTCTTCTATTTGGGGTTTCGAATAGGTGCCCCTCTTTTTGGAAAGTACCCATTTCTTCAGGGGGTTTAGGGTTAGGGTTTTAGGGCTTAGGGTTTAGGGTTGGGGGTTTAGGTTTAGGGTTTGAGGTGTAAGGTTTGGGGTTTCAGGTTTGGGGGTTTAAGGTTTGGGCTTTAGGGTTTAGGGTCTGGGGATTGATTAGGGTTTGATGTCTCTAAAGGCTTGAGGCTGTTGAGCCTTTTCAGGCTGAAGGGCGCTTGAAATCCCAGCGCTTTTGGTTGTTGTTGGGGGGAGGGGGGGGGGGGGTTGGGATGATGGGTGTGGGGGTGACGTAGGTGTCGTTCTTTATGGGGGGGTGGGGTGGGGGTGAGGGGGGGGGGAGGGTTTAGGGCCTTAGGGCTGTGATTTAGCTGTGAACCCTTCCCGACCTCTTCTTGTAGATCCAGCATCCAGAAGCGGTTGCCACAAGAAGGCCGACTCCTCTCCCATTTGGGCAAGGATGGGGGGGTGGGGGGGTAGGGGACCTCCGACCTCTGAACATCGTAAAACCGTCTGCTAGGCCCTACGCTCTACAACCCTGAAGCCCGACTGAAATCCCAGAAGCCCTAAACCTTGAAGAGTTTAGGGTTTAGGGTTTAGGGTTTGGGGTTTGGGGTTTAGGGTTTAGGGTTTAGGGTTTGGGGTTAACCCTGAACCGATCCTAACACCCTCAACCGGCATCTCTGACGGACGGCCTCCCACGGCCACCGCCCAGTAGATGACGATCATGGAGTCGAGGCCCTCCCTGGAAAGCTGGGCTTCGGGTTTTTGGGGTTTAGGGTTTAGTCTTCGGGTTTAGGGTTTCGACATTTTAGGGCTTTGGGGTTTTGAGGGTTTAGGGCTTGGGGGCTTTATGGCTTGTACGGTTGAGGGCGGCGAGATGCTCATGTGAAAACTCCCAGCGAGCCAGCTAAACATGGGGGGGGGGGGGGGGGGGGGGAGGGGGCTGTCTCCCACCACCGCGATTATGTACATTCTAGATGGGCACCTCTTACAAAAAAGGACCCGCGACAGGGGCCCGCATTAAAGAACAACTCCCACGTCACGCCGAACCCAGAATTCCAGAGTATGATGTTGGAAACTTGGGATGTTCCCCCTTATACTGGCAGTCCTGGAAAGGGATTCTAATACTGGGTACTATAATCCCTATTAGGGACTGTTAGCATAAAGGGGACATCCCAAACGTAAACCCTAAACCCTGAAACCCCGCTCAAGCAGTAGCAATGATTCCAAGTGGCAATGCCGCAATGTCAGGTAGGTCCGGCGGTGGGTTGCAGCACCTGCATGGTTTTCAGGAAAGAAAAAAAACAAGCTTTTGCCCCCGCATATAAGGCCTTTACGGCTTTTTGGCCTTAACGTAAGCCCGAAACGCCAACCCCTAGACCTTGAACCCCATGGGTTCGGGATTCAGCCACAAGCCCAAAACCCCACTCCCCCCATCCCCCGCCCAAAAAAACAACCTTCCTCAAGGTTTAGGGGCCCCAGGGGTCTTCGAGGTGCTTGGTGCGGACCCACAGAGCTTGAAACGATCCTCCTCGGTGAAGTTGTACGTCGAGCCTGGCACATGGATAAGGCCCAGAAGGACAAAACCACCCAAGACCCCAAACCCTATAAGCCCTAAACAAGGGAGTGAGGGGGAGGGCCGGGGAGGGTTGTCCTGCATCGCGGTGTCCATTTCCAGTCCAAGGTCCCTTCATGACCTGTTTCTATGTATCTTCAGTATCTTCCTACAGTTTGCGGTACAGTGCCAAAAAGGTCCCCCCCAATTCGGCATCAGGGCCCATATAGAATCTCAGAACCTCAAACTCATTCCAAGTCAACCACAGCCCCAAGTGCCCCCCCTCCACGGCCTATCTCGCTGACGTTGTCGATGCCAGGAAGACGGGGTTGACGAATGAGGTTCACAGCCAGAACAGACACGATGCCATCACTGCAGGGGGGAGGGGGAGGGAGGGGCGCTCTTGCAGCATGTCATGTAGGCTTGATGACATTTATGGGGGTTCCCAAACCCTGCAGGACGCCTGCAGTAGAACACAGGCTCGCCAAGGAAACCGTCGCCGCAGAACCCAGGTCCAGCCTCATGTTGCCACCAAGAAGAAGTCGACTTATAAGGCAAAACAAGATCCTAAACAAGATCCTGATCGTGTCGCGTAGGGTTACCTCTCAGTCCCAGACATTTCGCTTGTCGTTGATGGCAGGATGTGCCACGGCTGCGCCGTTTGTGAGGACCTGCTCAGAACTCTTTCCGAAGGCCGGGGTTAGGGCCAGGGCATTGGCAGAATCAGACAATCCAGTTCTCCATTGTCGATCTTGTGCCGGGCTCGGCATGCGGCTACTGATGTGCGCAAGGGCTTAGGGCTAAGGGGCCCCGTGCATGCAATGCCGAGGAAGTATCTGCTACTTGCCCCTCAGGTTCATCCTCTTTTGAGTCCTAAGCATTCCTAAGCCCTGATTCCGAAAATGAAACAAAGCACTGCACGTACTCCTTTGTCGGTTGGGCCATCGGCCCAGGCCTACTTGCAGCTTCCCCTACTTGGAGGTTCATGGCACTTACTAACCAATTAAGAACTGTACTTATGACCCACTTATCAGCCCCTTAAGTGCCCTAGTATAGTTATAATGGGGTTATAGGTACAGTTATTATCGGGCTAATAAGTACCCTGAACCTCCAAGTACGCTCTTTCTTCTGAGGTCATGACTTCCATCAAGAGGTACAGACGCCGGCTTCCCCGGGCGTTTTGGATGATTGGAAAAGCGATGTTGGACTTTGTCACGCAGCGTGGCCAGACCACGAGGCGCGAAAGGAATTGAGTATACAAGTCCGCTGAATAATCCAGCGGCAGTGTGGATGCAACATGCCAATCCCTGAATCACTTCCATCGCTACAAAGGGTACCAGAAGAGAGGACACTCGTTTGGACTGTCGGACATACAGGCAATGAATGCACTCTCTGCGCGCACAGGTCGTGATGGTTTGAGCATGTTACTGTCTCAAGTGCTTGAGAACTGAAAACATGGTTCCCACTGCGCAAGATGTTCATGCAGCAACGGGACCACGAACACCCAAAAAGTGCAGACATTTTGAACCCCTGAACCTGCTTCCATGTTCAGTAGAGGGTCGAACCTATGCCTGCAAACTCTATCAAGGGTACGTGTGTGGAAGCAGGCGCGCTAGTCTGCAGCCGGACCACTGAGAGTCCAATGCCTTCCTAGTCTTCTAGCTACCTCCCAATGCCCCATAGGCATGTCTCAATGTGCCATTGGAAATCTGGACCAAGGTGTACACCGAATGCCCCATGCATTGCAGTGCAAGGCAGTCTTAGACTGCCCCTCGGCTCTCGGCTCCAGGCAGCCTCGACTCATGCGCTTGCCGGTAGGAAAAGCAGGCGGAGCCGATCCAAGGATGCTGCCAGGAGGTCGGCGCTGGGGCTGGGCATGGCGTTCCCATCTCGGTTGGCGGACTGGTAGCTCACCAGGCCGATCAGGTTGGAGACGTTCATCCGCGCAAGCGTCTTGTGGAGGTTGCGGAGGTCGCGGTCCGCTACGACCTGGGCCACCGGCCGTGCACCTTCGGACTCTTGCGACATCATACCCAGGAGCTCCCTGGCCTCTTCACGGAAGCCTCCCTGCTTGGCTTTGTTCCGGCAGAAGTGAAGCACCAGCTCGAGCAACTGCGCCCGGCTGAGGCGTTGGATGATGCCTCGTTGCCTCTTGTCCAACTTTGGCATCTTCTCCGTGTGCTCCATGTGGCAGTAGGCACATGCATGGCCGTTCTCGCAGTGCCCGGCGTTGAAGTAGATACACGGGCGCCGGCACACCTCCGGGTGCCCAAGGCTGCCCTGGCTGGGCAGCAGTGGGAACTCTGCCAAGATGGATGCATGCTCCGCATGCTCCAGACCCTCGCCGCCAGGGACATCTGCAAACTCTGCAAACTCCGCATCTGAGCTGTCTGAGCTCATGGTGGGGCTGGAGCCGCTCGCTGTGGTGGGCGTCTCGCCCTGCTGGCGAGGATTCGTTAGGTTGGCAAAGTTCTGGGAGAGCGTGCCCACGTAGCTGCGCATTCCCTCCTCCTCGCTGGCAAACTCAAGGCTGAAGCTGATGCGGCGCACGCGTTCCGGCGGCGAGCTCTGCGCACGGACCTTGCTGGAACTGCCCGCCATGTCCTCGAACTCCTCCTTCACGTCAATAAAAGTGCGCTTGTACGCGAGCTCCATGGCCATGGCAGGGAAACGAGTGCCTAACTTGCTCTCGAGTTGGCCCCTTAAAACTGCGAAGCCCCTAAAATGGCTTGCCCGTGGAAAGCAGCGCGGTGCAGAAGCCTGCACCATGGCCCATGCCAGCCGATGCAAACATCTCTTTCCGCCTTCCCGGCCCCCCGCTTAGGAATCCTGCCAAAACGGAGAGGCAGCTAAAGTCCTTCACCCTAAACCCTAAACCCTAAACCCTAAACCCAAAACCCTTCTAATCGGCCCCTAAAAACAAACCCAAATCTGGCAAGCCTGTGGGAGACCCTCCGAATCACTGTCGCACTGGTCAGAGCTTCAGGGCAGTTGGGGGCTTACGGTTTAGGGCTTGGGGTATAGGGTTTAAGGTCTGGGGGGTTTAAGGTTTAGAGGTTTGGAGGTTGAGAGGTTTACGGTTTAGGGTTTAGAGTTTCAGGTTTAGGGGTTTAAGGTTTAGGAAGCTTACGACTTAGGGATCTCACTCCTGATGTTCCGGAAGATCACACCTTCAACTCTCACCCTTGACTCAGAATTTCTGCAAATAAAAAAAATATACTCATACAGTAGTAAAATACTCAGAAAAAGATTATTACATGGCACCATAGTATAACAACACAATCTAAACCCTAATCCCTAAACTCCAAATCCTAAAACCCCTGAATGGCCTCTCCGGCTCGGCAGTTCATGTCGCCGCAAATACCATCGAAGACCGAAGACACGTGGTCTGTGCAGCGCCTCGGCCAAGTTCTCAGCATCGAATCCTAAGCCCTAAGCCCTAAATCCTAAACCCCTAAACCCCTAAACCCTAAACCCTAAACCCCCAAACCCCAAACCCCAAAAGATGGCTTCAGTCTTCAGGGTTTCGGGATAGCTTGGTGGGCCTAGTAATGCGAGAGCAGGCCAAGAGGTAAAGAAGTTCCGGCTAACATGAATTCAGCGGGTTCATTTGTAGTAGGTACCCAAAAACCTTACTCAATAGGGTGCTCCTGAACCCTAGACTCTGAACCCTAAACCCTAAACAGAAATGGACCCTCGGGGGAAGCTGGGAAAATTTAGGGGCAAGTGCATCCCCTTGGTAGGTGCCAGACACCGCCAACACACCAGCTTTGCCGTCTGGACACCTGAGTTCGAGGTTGAAGCAAACGAGCTGGCACACTCTGCCGTATCCCCTTAAATTAGGGGTTTAGGGTTTAGGGTTTAGGGTTCAGGGTTTATAAACGCTAAAAGCCTCGGCGCACTGGGCCGTGCCGAGGCGGGCAGCGCGCAGCATTAGAAACTGCGCACAAGATGATGAGGGTTACGATGATTGCGAGCCTCTGCAGGGGTAAAGCCCAAAGGGCCCTCAAACCCTGAACCCTAAACCATCCTAAACCCTAAACCCCAAAGGGCCCTCAAACCCTAAATCCTCAACATCCCGAATCGCCAGACCACTCAGCTCCTTAACGCCGTTCTCAAGGATGACGCCAAATCCCCTAAACTCGAAACACTACAAGCAAGCCCTATCCTATCAACCTCCAAGCTCCAACATGTTCACTAAAGGCCTAAAACCCTGACAGTCTGTCCCGACATTGATGCCATGCCGTTTTAGGGTGAAGGGATTAGGGCTTGGGGCAGCAGCAGCAGCAACTCCTGTCTGATGGGGTTCTCCCATTGAGGGCGTTCTAGATTGCCCATGAAGGGAAGCCCATTTTGAACAGCCCCAGCAATGCATCACAGACAAGATGTGGCCGCGACTGTACGGACGTCTGCTGCTGATGCCTGAAGCGAGATTCACAGTGTGCATGTCGTTCTTCCTTGGGATTTGGGGGCATCAGACCATTCCAAGCAAGCATTCGCCAAGGAGCTCGATATAGGGAACTGAGACCTTAGCTGCAACTTTGCACTGGTAAAACGCTATCAAGTAGAACATGAACTGTAGCCAGCAGGCATACAAGCACCTTTATGAGCGCGTTAGCAAGCACATTATCACCCTTTGTAATGGCCAAGAATGAGCATATTTACCTCTACTGCAAAAGACACAAATATGTATGTATACAGGTTTATTGGCGGTTGTTTAATGTATATACGTTTTTATGATCAGGGGGCGCCCGGTCCCCCTCCCCCATTACGGGGAAATTGAAATACGCTTCTTCGTTTTGTTTTGTCGAGCACATAACTTTGTTCTCTCCGTTATCAGTAGCATTATTGCGCTCATTCTATTCGCTCTTATATTGAGGATATTTATGGGGGTTGTGCATAATAGAGGTCGTTTAGCACAAGCGTTTACATTATGTTCGTTGGAATCGTTCATACATAGCCAGGGTGGTTGGGGGGTTGGGGTTTAGGGTTTAAGGTTTGGGGATGTGGGTTTAGGGTGTAAGGTTTAGGGTTTGGGGTCTAGGGTTTAGGGGGAGGGTGGAGCGCATACGAGAGAGGGGCATACCCTGGAAAGGAGGGGGATGCCATGGGGGCGGGGGTGGAGGGGACCGGCGAACCGTGAAAACCGCAGTCATATATGTATACATGTATATATGTGTATATACATACATACATACGTACGTACGTACGTACATACATACATACATACATATGCATTTTTGTACATGTACATATTTGCACACAATGAAACATATACATACACTTTTTCATACACACACACACACATATATATATATATATATGTATATATGTACGCATATACACATAAACACGCAGATTTTCATGTATACGCATACGCGTATATGCACGTGGGCATATAGACCTGAAGACATCTAGATTTCAAAAACATATATATATATATATACGTATGTGTGTATGTATGTATGTATGTATGTATGTATGTATGTATGTATGTATGTATGTATGTATGTATGTATGTATGTATGTATGTATGTATGTATGTATGTATGTATGTATGTCGCATGTGCATGCATACCGAAGTATACACATATACAGATACATAGACATGAGCATGTCTGCATAAGTATGCGTATGTGTGCATACATATATATATATATATGTATATATATATATACACACATATACATATATAGTATATACATGTATATATGTATATATATATATATACGCATGCATGCATGCATGCATGCATGCATGCATGCATGCATGCATACAGACGTACATACGTACATACGTACATACGAGTACACATGTGCATGTTACATACGTGTGTCAGTTCATCTTCAGCACAGCGGCGTTCGATCCGTCTCTTGACTCGGTAAATTGCGGAGGGCAGTGCCTGCACGCGTGTGCGCACGCAAGCAAAGCACTCTCCCTTCACAAAAGCTCCACAGAACCCCCAGGTTCTTAGTAGGGAATGAGGGAAATCTTTGGGCACCCTTTAAGGGACTATACAGGGCCCGAATTCCCCCATTCCCTACTAGGAACCAGCAGCAAGGAGTGCCTTTGGCAGGCCCCCTCTCCAGCTAAATTCACGACCTGAGACAGCAAGGGAAGGATGAACATGGACAACTGCTCCGAAATTACTCTGGTCTTATTAGTAGGGAAGGAATTAGGGCCCCTATTTATATACTCCCTTAAAGGGCATGTGTATAGGGCCCTACTTCCCTGATTCCATGCAGAGAGTAGCCCTGAGGTTCCGAGGCTCCGACGGTGTTGTTGCAATAGAGCTCCACCTGCCGGTTTAGAAATTAGGGGGGGGTGCCTTATTGGGTCCTTACTACAAGGGAATCCTCCCCCACCACTTATTTTCCTACCAGTGAAGGGTCGGGGTCGCTTGTTGACCCACCTGAACACTAGAGAGAGAGGTTGTAAACGACAACTCTCACAAGCTCCAAGGAGCCAGCTTTCGTGATAAGGGAATCCTACTTGAGGTCCTCATTCTACGGGAATCCTACTATTTTGGGGTGTTTTGGGCTTATCGGGGTCCCTGATTTTCGTCAACTCCCGCCTCGCCCACACCATCGCCACTGCAGGTGCCTTGAGAGCGAGGCCCGCGTTTCTTGGGGTGAAGACTTCAAGGTTTGAGGGGTTTTGGGGTTTTAGGGTTTGGGTTTCAAGGTTTCTGGTGGGGTTTTAGGGCTTTAGGGTTTAGGGTTTCAGGGTTTTAGGGTTTTAGGGCTTTAGGGTTTTAGGGTTTAAGGTTTAGGGTTTTAGGGTTTTAGGGTTTTAGGGTTTAGGGTTTTAGGGCTTAAGGTTAAGGGTTTCAGGGTTTTAGAGTTCGTGGGTTTAGGGTTCAGGGTTTTAGGGTTTTCGGGTTTAAGGTTTGTGTCGGGCGGTGACACTCTGATCGCAGTAGGTGCCAGGCCATTGATCCTGGTACCATGCGGGAAGGCCGGGTACCTTAGAAGTTGAACTCCCCAATACATGAAGAGCAAACACCGAGGCTTGATCGACATCATGGGCACTTGCTGAGAGTTTAGGCTTTAGGGTTTAGGATTTCAAGTTTCTTCTGTATACATTGATGGGCACCGGGAAGGGCGCCTTGTTTTGACAAAGAAAAACACATCCTCGTGTCAACTATCCTGCGGGGACGAGTTGCAATCTCTTGTTAGTGCCTTTCACTTGAGAATAGAATGCTGGATGTTGAAATAACTTGGGCATCAAAGCGCGTAACTCCGACAGGCTGTGACGCTTCCCTTGGGTTTCGCAGCGAGTTGGAAGGGGCAGCTCCCCTCCTCTCCCCACTTGGGTTTAGGGTTTAGGGTTTAGGGTTTAGGGTTTAGGGTTTAGGGTTTAGGTGCCATCAAAACTGGCTTGGCGCCGGCTCCCCGGAACAAATAGTGCTTGGCGTGGGCGCGCCCGCGCATGCAACACCTAGAGGGCGCTCCTATCAGGGGACCTTGGCTCCTCCGTGCCTACACGGTAACTGCTACTGCTTCGCTATCTTCCATAAATTTCTCCAGCAACAATTTATGCAGATATAAATCTACATACGTACATACATACATACCTACGTACATACATACCTACGTACATACATACATGCATACATACATACATACATACATACATGTGTATGTTCTGTATGGGGAGGTTGCCTCAATTCGGATCCCCTCATAGGTGGATCCAGACAATCAGGGAGCAACCTCCGCCACCTGAGGGCACCGCCTCAGCCTCACACCATTTGGATCGAAGACCTAAGC